TTCCACCGGGAATCTCTCAACTGACCACCTACACTCACCAAGACTGGTTCCCTCCGGGCATGGTCGTGGATGCATTTGACAGTTGGATAAAAGCAGATTTAAGATGTCCTTGCGATCTAGTGACTAAAGGCAAAATTCAAAACAAAAACTATTTTTAACAAAAAAATAGGTCATTGAATCCCATGGCACCAATACCTGCAACTCCAGAACATGACAGAATGGTTAGCCAAAGCGGGTGTCTTTGATAGGGGCCTAGTGAACTTGGAAAAAATAGATGGGAAGAAGAGCTCAATTTAGATCTGAATGTTTCTCAGTGGGATGCCATTTGGGCATCAGGGGTGAATACTTTCGTATTCAACATACGCTTGCAGTTCTTTAAATTAAGCTCAAGATAGTACATTACACCACCCAACCTGCTGGAAAAATTGCGGGCAAATAGGCACCTACCTTCATTGCTGGTGGGACTGCCCAGTGATCCTGGAATTCTGGAAGAAAGTGATTATTCATATTAACTTAATCCATGTACACCAGAAATAACTTTATTAAATTTATGGGACAATTCGCTAAGAAGTGACACTAAGGATCTTATAGTAATACTGTTGGCAACGGTCAGACTAACTATAGCTGTGGCCTGGAAATCTTCCTCACCGCCAACACTCCTCACTTGGCAAGATAAAATCTGGGATCATTTTATAATGGCCAAGATAATAGACTATATAAATAGATCCCATAACTCTTCTATTCCAATCTACTCCAAATTTGTACGGATTTGGGCTCCAGTATTAGAACATATGGTTGCACAAGGTTTTCTCCCTTCAAATCAAATATATCATAAATGGTTGTATCTATAAGTAATATATTGATAGTAAAGTTTATATTAGTCTACAGCACATTACAGTTAACGATAACATTTATATGAAAGGAAATTCGGTTTAGCTACTTGTTATAGGTTAAACAAGCACAAAATAATTAGCTCTCTTGTTTTACTCCTGGTTAATTTGTTCTTTGATGTCTGTTATATACTGTTTTAATACCTATGTTATATTTTAAATTGTAATGCTTGAATTATACTCAATAAAATTTTAAAAAATGATGAGAGAGAGAGAGAGAGAGGCAAGGGTGATTGCTCAGCGAGGCTGTGGCATGTGCAAAAAATAAATAAACCAGCTGGATGGGAAGTTGGGAGGCCTGGGCTGTAAGTCGGAGGGCCCAGCCCCGAGATGCCTCACTGCAGCTATGGGCTTTCCCTTTGCAGTTTCCTTCCTGCACAAAGTAGTTGCTGGCTCTTGTTGTGCTCTGAAGCACGTGACATAGTGCTTTTCTTACCTGAGCTTGCTAGTTCATGCCAGTCATGGATTCCTCTGGTCTGTAGCACTGTAGCACATAAAGATAGAAGCTTTGGGGGGGGCTCTATTTTAGTCCAGGTGGGGAGCATTCAAAGGTTCTTGGAATCAGAGGTGGTGGGTGGCAGCAGCAGCTTCTGTATTCTGCCTTTCACAAGTGATCATTTGAAATTCCTGGAGATCTGGGGGATGGAGCCTGGGGAAGGTGGGGGAGGGACATTAATTGGCTATAATACTATAGAGGCTGTCCTCTGAAGTAGCCATTGTCTTCAGGGGAAGTGATCTCTCTAGTCTGGTGATCACTTGTAATTCTGGGAGATCTCTACGCCCCACCTGGAGGTTGGCAACCCTATTTCATTCCAGTCTGAGTGCCTATAGCTATTCTTAAGTCATCCTATAGCAAATTATGTGGAGCCAAACCAGAGCAGGGTTTTGGGCTTGGGGGGGGGGGGGGTTGGGGTCGTTTGCACATGTTTATTGTACTCACTGGAACTAATAAACAGCCCTGCAAGGCCAACTATATACATACCCACCCAGCATACCCCCAGTCCCATTGGAGGGTTTGAATTTCCCACCAAAGTGGCTATTGGTGAATGCTGGGGGAACTAGGATCCTAGGCTTCTATTGTCTAGAGGAGCCAAGCTCCTTACTGTAGCCACAGACCCCTGGTAGCGGCCCACATACATAACAGTTGCCAACTCCATGTTGGGGAATCCCTGGAGATTTGGGGGATGGAGACTGGGGAAAGTGGGGGAGGGACTTAATGAGGTATAATGCCACAGAGTTTGTCCTCTGAAGCATATAGCTATCCTTAAGTCCTTATAGCAAATTATGTGGAGCCAAACCAGAGCAGGGTTTTGGGCTTGGGGGGGGGGGATTGAGTTCAATGGAAGATGGTGTTGTGAATCAAAGGGACCATCCATCCCAGAAAGTGCACCTTCTTCTGTGATCTCTGTTAGAAAAGCCTAATTTCAGGCTCAGAGGAAGAAACAGACACTTTTATGGTGACACATTGGTGGGGGACGACACCTTTTTGGTACATTGCATCCCAGGAAAGTGGAAGTGGGACAATATGGTGGTGGGGATCTTCACACATCTTTACAATTTAATAAAGGAAGGGGTTATTTGGTTTAAAACAAAATGGATTATCATTTAACCTTCTTTGTAGAATGATCCTTTGTAGAGACTTTGCTCTGCATCATAGCCCATTCATAACGAAGTAAATAAATAATGATGTGCTCACCACCACTGTACTCATTTCCCCCCCCCCTTAAAAATTTTCTGGCTACGAGCCTGCTTCTGTCAAGTGTTTTTTTCAGGGATCAGAAACCTGCATCTCATCCCCAAGGTCCACACATTCCAAAGACTTCAGGCAGTGCTGATCCACCCACCCAGAGGGCTCAGCTTGCCGCCGGTTCCTTATGTCAAGGAATAGTTCCCTATTTATTTATTTCAGAACTACTCGAGAAGATAGCTACTTTACTGTAATATCTTACAAGGATGGCACATTCTTATAAAGTACTGTTGATATTCTCTGACGCATATAAAATGTCATTTTCATACATTCTCATTGTGCGTGTCTTGTTATGGAGCTCTACAAGTGGTCAATTGCAGGAAACCGTACCTAGGTTTCTTATCACACTGGCTACTCGTTGGTTGGTTGGTTTCCAAATTGCTCATGAGCAAATGAGTTACAGGAAAAATACATTTGTGTTATAAACCTAATAAAAGCTATTACAGGAGTTCTTACAAGTGTCCAGGGGATTAAATTAGTCATGAGCAGTAACAGAAGATGCACATGTGACGACGGGTTGCACTTTTAAAAGCTTAGAAATGCTGTACAAACTGGTAAATTCTTCACAGAGCCAGAGAGCCTTGGGTGACAGGCTGTTCCAAGAGATCTGATTGGTTAGCATCAGCTGAACAGAGAAAGACTTCTGGTGCAGGGTGTCAGCTCCTGGCTCGTGATGTTGTGCCCTACAATTAACAGCCTGGGTGTGATCCTGAATGCCTCACTGACTAGGGAGGCCCAGGTCACAAATGTTGCCAGACTGGTATTTCTTCAACTGTGCCAGGTCAGGCAACTAGCCCCGTACCTGTCTCGTCCTGACCTAGCCATTGTAACTCATTCTACATGGGCCTACTCTTGAGGCTGACCTGGAAACTCCAACTGGTACAGAATACAGTGGCACAGGTCCTTACAGGGACATCCATCCTGTACTGTGTGAGCTACACTGGCTTCCAGTGGACTACCGGATCAGGTTCAAGGTTCTGGTACTGACCTTCAGCGCCCTAAATAGTCAGAGACCTACGTACCTATGGGACTGCGTCTCCTGGTATACCCCCAGAAGAGCATTGCACTCTGCAGATCAAAATCCATTGGTGGTCTCAGGCCTGAGAGACATCTGACTGTCCTCAACCAGAGCCAGGGCTTTCTCTGCCCTAGCACCAACCTGGTAGAGCTCTCTGCCAAACAACATCCATGCCCTTTAGGGTTTATCACAGTTCCACAGGGCCTGCAAGGCAGAGATGTTCAACAAGGCATTTGGTTGAGGACAGTGACAGTTCCATCCTGGCACTCCCACCTACTCCTGTGAGATAGTGGAGTTACTGTTTTTTCTTGTACCATCTCCACTTACTTTCTGCTTGTTCCTGGTTTTAATCTGTTCTTAATTGATGTTTTATGACTATGTTGTACAGCACTCGGAGCCCAGCTATGCCAGGGAAGGGCAGCTGAAAAATCCAGTTAAATAAATAAATAAATAATAAACCAGATGCTGAGGAGAATTCAGTCTGATTTCAGCCCTAGGTGAGAAGAGTTGAGTACTGACAAGGAGTGCACATTCAGCATAAATCAAGCCAAAAAAATACCCAAAAATACTTTACTGGTATTTTTCAGGTATTATTTAATCCAAATACAGATCAGATAAACAGTTGGTACAGTTGACCCCAAAAGAGAAGGAATTTCCCTACCCAGTCTAAACAGGGTGATAGCTTTGAAGAGTACAGAGATCCATGGTCTGGTGTGGTTAGAAACTGCCTTAGAAACCTTTAGAGTCAGTTAAAAACTCAAGACAAGTACTGGTGTTTCAAGAGAAGGGGTTTGAGTACTGGAAAGAGCATACCAGCCTTCTGGAAACCAAAGGACTTTAAGATTAATCAAATAAAGTATACTGAAGTGTTTGGGGAAAACACTGGAACAAAAACCTCTCAACGTAAATAAGTCTCTGTGAAAAGCTTAAGAAACTCTCTTTAGCTTGAAACATAAGAACTAAAGTCTGTGAATGTACTGATATTTACCTCAGAGTTATCTATATTGAGTTACCGCAGAAATTTTATCCCTGATTTCACCTGAACTTTCCCCTCTATGTTAAATAAAATGTTTTATCAATTTGGAATATAAAAATGTCTTGAGTGCCATTTAAGTTAAAGGGGGCTCCCAGTCCTCCCCTTAGGTTTCTGGACTGAGCAAACAGCCAAAATATACTGTGATAGGGTGGGACAGCCAGAGTACTTCAGGAAAGAAGAAAACACATTACTAGGGTGGCTCAGTCAGAAAGAGAAACAGAGAGAAAATCTGGCCTCTGAGGGAGGGAAGTTGGATGGGGATGTCATAGCACATTAACAGGACTTTTCTTTCCTTTTCTCCCTTACCAGATGAGGATAGGGATTCACTCAGGATCTGTTCTGGCAGGAGTTGTTGGGGTAAGAATGCCAAGATATTGTCTTTTTGGTAACAACGTCACTCTAGCAAGCAAGTTTGAGTCAGGAAGCCATCCACGCCGCATCAATGTCAGCCCAACAACTTACCAGTAAGTGCTTATCAGTCTTTCTTTGGATATTGCTTTGATTTTACATATTGTTCATTTAAAATAGTTATGTATTTTTAAATGAAATAAAACTACGGATCTCAAAATACAAAAAGGTAGCACATAACCAAAAGAGATGAATGAGATAAAAGGTAAATAAAAAGGTAAGCAATCAAATAAATCAGTTGTTATATGAGCAGCAATATGTCTGTATTGGAAATTCCTGCAAAGCCTGAAATTCAGTATCAACAAAATATATAAAAGAATATAATTTAGCATGAACTTGTTTAGCCTTAGTATGGTCAATTCTTTAGAACGTCCAATTTGAATTTTGTTTTATAAAACCCCATATACATAAATCCCATTTGGACATTATAGAGTGTTTCTCAGCCAGCTAGTGTTGAGTGAGCACTGAACATGTTGCAGTAAACAGAGAGCTGCTGTGGTATACTGGTTCATGTGCTGGACTGAGATGAGGGAGACCCAGGTTCAAGTCTCCACTTGGCCATGATGCTCACTTAGGTGATCTTGGGCCAGACACTTTCTGTCTCAGCTAATGTTGTTGGACAAGGTTATTGTGAGGACAAAAAGGAGGCGGTGTGAATTATTTATACCACCCTTGCTCCTTGGAGGGAAGAGTGGAATAAAAATGTAATTTAATAAAAGCGATGGAAATGGTAAGATCTTTGTGAAGAAGGTGCTGCACCAAGGCCAGAAAGCTGTGTAATGGTACTACTTGGGGAGGGGTGTGTGTTAATTAGTAATTTCCTCTGTTTCTCAGTAACTGAAGTCCTAGAAAATAACTCTGGGGAGAATCCAATACATTTCTTAAATCACACACACAAAACTAGTTGAAACTGCCCAAAACAATTTCTGGAACATTTAGTGCTCTGCAATAGGGTTTCTTCCACAGGATTCACCAGGGATGATGATGATGATGATGATGATGATGATGATGATGATGATGATGATGATGATGATGATGATGATGATTTCTGAATCGCCCCATTCCTGAGTTGACAGGGCTCTGGGCAATTTACAACAAATTAAAAACATACAAAGTACAAATTAAAATCAACAATCAGTTAAACACAATAACCACATAATCGCAAAATGTTACTGATAGTCTGCTGATGGTGTTTAGTGTTGGAAGGTGACATTCAGTGCCATAGTCCAAGGATGTGCCTGCTCACATTTTCATTCATCAATTTGTTCTCCTTGTAAGGACTGTTCTCATCTCAGATCAGCCTTGGCTTTTGCTTTGGTGACAGTTATCTTTGACTGTGTCTTCTTCTATGTTTGAGTTTTTGGGTGGGGAAGGGCTTGCTCCATTGCCTGCCTGCTTCTTTGCAGGATTCCATGTGGGCCCAGATCCCGAGGACTCATGATTCCTGCATCTCACCCAGCCAGCTGCCTATTACCCACCAGCATCATGATACCCAAGACACTAAGCAATCCTGTTGTTTCATAGTTCCTCACACACACACCCCTCCAACCCAACTATTTCTGAGAAGGCTGACATCCTAATCTTTCTTTTCCGTAGTAGAAAAGTAATCTTTCTTTTCCATAGAGCCAGTTTGGTGTAGTGGTTAAGTGCGCGGACTCTAATCTGGGAGAACCGGGATTGATTCCCCACTTCTCCACATGCAGCTGCTGGATGACCTTGGGCAAGCAATAGTTTTGTCAGAGCTGTTCTTGAAAGAGCAGTTCTTGAGCAAGCTCTCTCAGCCCCACCTACCTCACAGGGTGTCTGTTGTGGGGAGGGGAAGGGAAAGGAGTTTGTAAGCCGCTCTGAGACTCCGAGTGAAGGGCGGGATAGAAATCCAGTTTCTTTTCTTCTTCTTTTCTAATTTGGGACAGGTGGCTTTACTCACCTCCTCACCTGAGCTGGAACACAGGCAGCTGTTGTAAGCTCACTTAACTCAGGAATAAATTCCATTGAACTCAACAAGATCGACTTTTAAGTCAATAAGTCATGTTTGGTGTGGCACTGTTAAGATTCCCCGTAGCCAAAGGACTGACTTCCAGCAGTATACCTCTATCAACTCATAGCTCCAAATTTGCGTAGAGCCATATCCTTGGTTAGATTTAATGTTCTTCCTTCAGCTATTTTATCTGGCAGATTCCAAGGGACTCCCTATCCTAGCAGGTGCTGTCGTTGTATGAAGTACTGTGTTGAAACTGTTGCCCATGTCCTCCTCCAGTGCCCTCTCTATTTGGCGTCCCGTCAGGATCTTCTATATCCCATATTAGGCCAATTTTTAGAGACCCCTGATGATTTTAAACTCCTTTTATTGCTCGATAATCCAGATACAGAAATAACTGAAATAGTAGCAAAGTTTCTCTGCAGTGCCATGGTCCTACGGCCTGATAAGTGATATTATGAATTAGGTTTTATTATGATATTACTCTGTGATGTTACTCTTCAATTTTAGTTTTACTCTGCATGAGTTCGCATTTAGATTACTGTATCTTTATTTATATGCCAATAAAAGGCTTTGGATTTGGACTGACTTACTATATACACAGGTCACAGATTATCCTACAGTATAATCCAGGCCATTGCCTGTTGTAGTCACAGAAACAGGAAAGTTCAATTATGTAAAGATATTACTGTATTTTCTTTTAAGGTTGGTTTTAAAAGGAAATTCTTGTTCAGGTTTTGATTGACTGGGCAAATGTCTGCTGCTTTGATTAATTTTTATGCACTCACTTCTTGATGAGAAGATTGGCCTCTTTCTTGTCTCCGTTTTTCTGCAATTTGAGGGCAAGTGGTTTGCAGAGGCTCCCAGCATTGTTATCCTGCTCATCTTTCTTATTTTAACAGCACTGAGTGCCCAGGCATTTATAGGTCCCTTTAAATCACCATGTAAATGAAAGCTTATGTAATTTTCTTCAATGGGCATGGTGGGTATGCTAGAATATAAAGCATCTGGAGACTGAAGTTTTTTTGGGGGGAAGTAATTAAAAACTGGTGGGAGGAACGAAGTGCATTTGCTTCAGACAGAAATCAGGCAACTGGGGAGGAAGCAGGGTTCCTCAAAGGAGTGGGCCCAGCATGTCAAAGTAGGGCTTATGTGAAATTGGCAAGGACGGATCATGATGGATGAAGAGCGACAGAACAGATATCTGGAAATGCAAAGCAGTTTGGGGTGCAATTGGCAAGAAGATGGATCCCGTCTCTGCAAATGGTGTTTTTAAAACCTGGAATCAAGTGAGCCAATCCCTTGAAACTAGAAGTGGAATTATCAGCCCTTCTGGGATAGACGTTTTTTTAAAAAATGTTGCCTCCATGCTCAAAATCCCCACCTTAAACTGGCATTTTGTAGTTAATCCCCAGGAACCAGAATTTGATTCCTGCTATTGGAGCTTGAGTTCCAATTTTATAGACTACCTATTTGAACTAAGAATGTAGTGCAAATAAAGAAACCTTTGTAAATTAATTGTGTGGTTGATAAATGGATTAACTGTACAATCCTAAACAGGTTTATATACTTCCCATTGATCTCAGGGGATTTAGAAAGGCATACACTGCCTAGGGTTACACTGTAAGTCTGCATACATTTTCATATACTTAAAATAATGATTCTGAAGTAATGGAAGATATGTGATTTTTTTTTATTTTGAAATGAGTGAACTACTTTTTAAGACAAGGTTTTGCTCATTCAGAATGTGTAATGTGAAGATTTTAATGTAAACATTACAGCATTAGTGAGTGATAATTCCTTTGTATACTGTGAACACTCATATTTTTCAAGCATATGTTCATTGATTATGGCAATGGTGTGAAGAAAACTTGTGTATTGTATTTGGGGGTATTCACTATCCCAAGCCAAATTCCATTGTCCCTCCACAAAAAAATCTGGTTTTAGTGACTGAAGTCAGTTAACACCTAAAGCCCTGATACGCCTTTTCACATGAAGGGGTTTTGTTGTTGTTTAAAATTCTCCTTCCCCATTTTTGTATCATTAATAATTTTCACCACTTCTATAGAATGTGATCGGTCACCTTTCTGTGAAATGAAGGAGGAGCTGTATCTCTCTAAAGCCAAACTGTCCATATATCAGTGTATTTTTTGGGGGAAACCTAATGGGGTATAGTTTTTCCTCCAATGTGCCAAATAAGTTTATATTGCCAGCTTTAAAAATCTAGCCGAACCACATCCAGTGGAATTGTATGGACTAAAAAAGAAGAAGAATGTTGTCTTGAGACGCAACCCCATCCTCAGGGTGTTCCAGGCAAGAGACGAGCAGAGTAACCCATGGTGGTCTCCCATGCAAGTACTAACTATGGCTGCTCCCTTCTGGGCGTAGAGCAGGGGTCAGTGGGGGTGGGGGAGAGGTATTTGTGAATTCCCTGCATTGTGCAGGGGGTTGGATTAGATGACCCTGGAGGTCCCTTCCAACTCCATGATACTATGATTCTATGACCCTGCTTAGTTTCCAAATTCTTACAAGCTCAGGCTATGCTGGGCTATTCAGGCTGCTGGACTGGGAAAAAAACAACAACAACCCTGCCATAAATGCAAAATTCATTTGATTTCTCTGGGATTCTTTCATACCCCGGAAGCCTTTGGTTTACAGAAGAAAAATACTAAGTGATAAGCGGCTGCATTTTGGAGACATTGTTTACTAAGGTGTAAGTCCTGAAAGGAAAAAGTTGTAGTGCCACTTCTATAGGCATTCTGCCGCCGCCGCCCCCCCAACTAGGGAGGGACTCCACTCCAGATGGATGGTCCAGTTATTATTTATGATATTAAATAGTTCAGCATTATGAAGTTTAACTTGGTGTGCAAATATACTGCTGGACCTATTATGAATGTAAAAGGGCTTTTAAAAGACAAAACATCACATTTTCTTTAGTACAAAATTTGTGTTTTATACTTTAATTTTTTCCCTACCTCTCGGAGAGCAAAAACAAATATACATCTCCTAAGGCAGCACATGGTGTAGCAGTTTGCTGCTCTCTCTGTCAGACGTGCGCGCTCTTGTCTTGGGTGTACT